AAGAACGAGCCTGTATCGATGCCGTCATGTCCAGGTATGCTACCAGACCAGAGTTCAGGAGAATGGTACGACTGGCCATAGCCCCAGAGCCCAAGAGAACGTCTACGGAAGAGCCTGATGTAGAGATGAAGGATGGCGAAGCCGACCCTGCGAGTACCACTCCAGGAGTCGAGGAGCCTGAACCACCTACGCCTGAGCTTGATCCGCAAGACTACAAGGATGGGGAAGGTCGTTCAGTATCCCCGACGAAAACATGGTCGCACTACCCGACATCGAATCCAGATACTGAAGAACGGAAAAGAGCTGCCAAGCGCAGTGGGCAAGGTACAGCAACCGCTTCCAACTGGAAAGCCGCCTATGACAACCTCAGAAGGGTCAGAGCACGCGCAGTGAGCCAAAAGGTGTGCTATTGTTGTGGTTCAAACCAACATCACCTGGCTATTTGTCCCAACACTGAGAAGAAGGACGAGTTGATGAACTCATTCTCTTACATGGAGGAAACTATGCGCAAGTGCTTCACCGAGGACGACAAGGCAATCATCCGACGTGATGTTGAAAGCCGAAAGAGGAAAGCAAAGTCATCCAAAGACGTCGAAGACGAGGACTACATGGATGTGGATGATGAAGATATTGAACTTCCCGAAGAAGAGCCGGAACTAGGAGGTAAGGTACCACCTCACTCTCCGAGAGCCAAAGGTAGACCACAATCGTCAGACTCTGCAAAAGAGGAATACGCGAAAGCGGTCGAGGCAACCAAGAAGGCCTTTGGGAACGCCAGTTTCGTCACCAGATTCAAAGAGCCCGTCGACCTCTTTGACATTGCCGATGACAAAGAAGGAGGAGAGTACAGGGTCGCAAATCACAGGGTTGATAGATCAGGTCCTAATGGAAAGTGGGAACTTGATGCACTTATTCAGGAGGCTGCAGCACTCGGAATAAAGATGCCCAAAGTGAAGGACCTTGCTCCTGACCCACAACAAGTTCAAAAGGTTGGATATCGGCAGATTGAGGTGACTTGCGATAGAGGAAGCATCGAGATCATTCCACAGTATGGAGTTACATTCTATGTGGAGTACTGGAATGGACCGGAGAGAGATGCAACTTTCACGGATCCACCAAAGATGAACCCAGCAACTCGCATCGACAAGTTCAGCGAGGAGAGTCAGAGGGTCAACGAGATTAGCCATAGACTCAATAGACTACTCAGGCATGGAGTGGGAAAGCATAATGGGATTCAATCGCACCGCGGTCGAAAACCTCATGTGTCCCCGAAGTGCAATGAGGGTGGATGGGTGAACATCGATGAGATCCTGGAATATGACCATGTCTTCAACGATGGTGTCGATATCAGTACTATCTCAGGTGATCGGCATCGTCAAGATGTCAAGACAGAGCGATACCAGTATTTATGCAAGGCGATGTGGCATGCAAAGAAGTTGCAGAACAGAGTACGCTATCAGATTGCCGCCATTCGTATCTCAAAGGAGGATGTCTCACTCGAAGAGGAAAGGCAATACTGGGCAAACCTCATGTTTTACAGCACAGACGCACCGTCATTTCTGAAGCATGAACGTTGGATCGTTCCTTGTGCAATTCGAGCTGTTGCCTCTCACAATTCTGGAAGAGAGACTGTTCTTGAAGAGGATGTGTCAATATATCCTGTGTGGACTTCACATCTCATTCCAGAGAATGTGGCAATGCAGCTTGGAGGAAGCTTTCACATGACATCGCTTTCCAATATTGAGTCAATCATGAAACTAGGAATTGTCCCTGGTGGAACGGAGGGATATAGAGGTAGTGTTTTCTTCAACCACTTTGCGCCGTGGGATGATCGATCATCAAAGATTCTGAGATCAAGATGGCCAAGAGTGGGAATGCCCGTTTGCCTTTATGTTCCAATCATGACTTTGAGGAAGCTTGGGGGAAGAATTTCGGAGAATTCCTACACTGTTGTTTTTAGAGAAGTTCCATGGAGATGTGTACGAGGTGCTTGGTATTGGGACGACCACGTTCAGGCATGGAGGAGACTCCTGCTAGGAAGCACTGGAGAGCAAGTTGTTCTAGCGGCACGTCGTGGACTTTGGGTTGCTCAGAAGCATACCATCCTCGAGAGAGCCGACGAAGTCACGAAGTCAGCCTCGGCGACAGATGACAACGTCCAAAAGCTCGTGTCCCTTATCGATGAAGTACGATTCGATGACAATGGAGAGCTGATCGAGGATTCCATCAGTGAGGAAACTTGGGACGAAATCATCTCCAGAACATGTGAAGGGTATCGCAACGTGGATGGCAATATTTTGTGTCCATCATGTATGCATCTGACTTCTTCATCTTTGTCCGTGTGTCTATCTTGTCAAGGCAGGCTACTCTCGTGTGGTATTCGCAACACTGTCATTTCCGATTCACCCGTTGATCTTGTGAGCGACGATGAAGAGGAAAAGAAGGAAAAGAAGGAGCCTGAAGATGATGATCAAGATATATTGGACCAGGCCACTATGGACGAGATCAGAAAGGCTTGGGAAGAAGACATCGCTCAAACTGAAGCTGCTGACGACGACGAGGACATGGACAATCTAGATCCTTCCAAACCGTCTGATGGTGCAGAAAACTTCAAGAGTGACAATGTCGAGACCCCATCTTTCAATGAGGACGAGATCGACTACGGTCGTGATTCTGATCTAGAAGATGAAGACGAACGAAACGTGATCATCGAGATCCAGAGGAGCACACAACAATATGAGGGGAAGAAACGTCAAGATGGTGAGCCCGAGGATGAAGACGTCACCGACGACTTACATCCGGAGGCGAATCGACCGACAGATCGTGATGAACCGGGATACTATGCACAACATGGAGCAACCGAGTTCAATCCCGAAGAAGGAAGAGACAACGAAGATCTCCCCATCTATTGTCGAGTACCGGAACCTCGAATCTATGCGCATCAAGAGAGAGCCTACTGTCAGGACGTCTCCGTGAATGCATCGGGTTTGATGGATAGGTATGTGGTCAAATGTGTGCTGAACATGATCTCCCTGATGTACAAGAGCTACTATTGCACCAGCCTTACCGACTTCAAAGCAAATTGGAAAAGGAAGCGCCTGGATGTGATAAGCAAGTTCGGTACAGGGGATTCCACTGAAATCGATGACGATGGGAGACCATTGGATCCAACAGATGATATGATGTTAATCTTTGCCAACGACAACAATATTACAACTGAGGAGGCCTGGCACCGATTCAGAGGAGAGCAATTCATTTGCAAGGTGGCACTCGTGATCCTATCATTTGGTCATACTCCGCAATCCTTCAAGGAGGAATATGGCAACTTCGAACACTCCACCGACTTGACTGATGCCCAGCTTGAGGAGTTGAAAGCGAAGAAAGCCAGCGCAATGACTGAATTGGTACAGAAGTGCATCCATGCGATTTATGGGTGTCGGACATATTCTTATTTTAGAACCGACGTTACATCACCCTACCACAAGGTGATCGATCCTCTGGACATCATGTACTCGAGAATGAAGAGCAAGTGGGAGAAGTCTATTCTGTTGATCATTGATCAACATGAGATCAGGTTGCCCCCACAAGCTCAGGAAGTCGTAGAGTCAATGGCCAGAAACCCCAACGTTGGACATACAGAGAGATGGATGAGCGTGGTAGAACATAAGCATGTTCAAGCTCTTACCAATCGTCTAGGCTTTGGAGATAGGGCCAAGGAGATTCAGGGCAAGAAGAAGCAGGCAGCCAAGGCAACAGCTAAGTCAACATCAACGACTAAGTCTGAAGCGAAAGCAGCATCTTCGTCAAGAGCTGAGGCAAAGCCAGCATCTACACCCAGAACCAAGGCCAAGCCGTCGTCAGCACCAAGTGAGGAGCTAAAACCTTCAACAGCATCTAAGAGTTTCGGGCCCTCATCAGCAGAGGAGAACAAGGCGAAGGCTGCTCCAAAAGCCAGACCACATGATAAATCACCATCCAGTGCTACCGATGTGTTTGAGCAAGCTTTGCAGGAAGATCTTGCCGCCAACGCACATGCAGCAGAAGGTACAACTTCTTCATCATCCCGAGGACATTCCAAAGGAGGAGGCCAATCTGGAACATCTTGGAGGCCGGCGCTAACGCAAGAACGTCGCGAAGTACCTCAACCTTCTGAAAAGGGGAAGGGAAAGAGCAAGTCCAAGGGAAAGTCCAAGAGGGGAGAGGATGATCGGTGGGATGCTCAGGGCAGCTGGGATCATCGTGGATGGAGAGGTTATCACCAGTGGTGATTTCTTTGAACGACTATGAGGATACCATGCAAACCAGGGAGGAAATCATTCACCGGATGTTTATCTGACCTGAAACGCTGTAAGTGTATCGTTGCAAATTCGGATTGACGATTTGATACCATGAGCATAATGGAAGGCAGACAGTCACCGACTGTCTCTCCGACTTGCCGTTCTGTAAGTGTATCCAAACCAAAACCTACATCTTTTGAGGAGTGTGAAGTCAGTTGCCGATGTGACATCTACGTGGAAGTCACCAGTTCGGATCTACATCAAAGCGATGCTCTTTTGAGTGGATACTGAGCGAGGCCTCGTGACTGTCTCACTTGTTCAATTCGATTTTTCAAAGGTTCTGAGCCATAGTTGCACACTTTATATGTAAAAGTCCGCTTTAGTCCAGCATGTTTCGTAGTATGAGCCTCATATGAGTCTCGCGGCAAATCATACAATTTCTTTTGTAGCACTTACATCCCTAAATTTTCGTGTGTGATCGGAACATATTGTTGCCGTTCACATGGGGGGTGCGAATGGAAGTGCAGCGACACGTACAGTGCAACTTGTACATATATATGTACCATATGTACTTTGGCTCAAGGATCAAGCGACTAGAAAAGGTGCGGTTTCCGTTCCGACGCTACGCCGCTTATGGACCGTCAGTGATAGCTTCAAACTTCGCTGATTAAGATCCACTCGCATTATTCATATATTCACATATATATATATATCAATAGATCATGCAAATGGTATTAAATGGTCAATGTAAGTCTTAGATCTCTAGACCTCCCAGTTGATCTATGGTGCAATTGGTCTCTACGGCAAGCTTGGTCAAGTTGAAGGAGGAAGACTCGTTCGAACTTCGCCATGGAAGTCTCAGGGAATGCTGAAGATGCTGGGAATCCTGGTGCAAAACGAGAGAAACTCCATTCCCTACGCAACCCCGACACAGATGTAGGAGCTTTGCACCCGATGTACCTGGACTTCAGTTGATACAAACATTTTGGGACGCATTCCACCAAAAGGGCTGAATTACAAACACATGTTTGTGTTTGGCACGGAACATATGGTATCGATTGAATTCCTGTGTAACCTCCACTCTACTCCTGTCCCGCCCTCACAGAAACAGGAGCTATGGACCCGACAGTGTGGCTTCAAATGAAAGAACAAATCAATTCTGTGTTCCAAACACTATATTATAAGTATTATATATAAGTGATATTGGCGGCCAGTTGCTCTCCACTGAAATGCTCGCAGAAGAATGTGATATACAATTACAGGGTAGCTGTTCAAGAACCTTGCCAGTGAAGGCCCATTACCCTTCCAGTGTGCACACCTCTCCCACCAAAACGCCCAGCCGGCCAAGATCAAAAGTGCTTGGGTTGGTGCTCTTTGCTCGAATCTACTTCGGCTCCAACGACAGGTACTTACGATTTCGACCGATTTGGACCTCCAAGGATTTCGGGGTTCGTTCGTCCGGGCACGTTAGGTGAAAGTTTCGGATTTCACATGTAGGTTCCAACATGTTCCAACTCCAGAAAATGAATTGTTCACATCTGGACATGGTTCCATACAGGTCATATTGGACCAGTGGCATCCTTGCGTCACCACTGTGGGCTAAGAAGCTCCTTCTGCAGCTTCTTCCAAATCTTCGGCTCAATTCCTCTAAGACATCGCTCAAAAACACGACACACATCCAATTGTTGTTATATAAATATCTGTCTTCGGGTCCTGGATTTCATGGAAAGCGCGGATTTCAGCGCTGCGTGTCGCGCCCAGATCCTGGTCATCGGTGGTGGCCTGAGCGGCCTGGTGGCTGCACTGGCCGCGGAGTTCAGCGGAACGGGTGCTGTGCAGCTTTTTGAGGTGGAGAGATGTGGATTGTGAAGAGATGTGAAGAGACAGGATTGGATTCTTTGTGTATTCAATTCATGCATGTTCTTCTTTTGGGACTCTTTTTGTTGAGGCTTTTGTTGGCATTTTGGCGGATAAATGGGGTGTGCGGAGCTGGGACAGGCCATATTGAAAGGCGGCACGAGAGATTACGAGAGTATCGCAAGGATGCACTGGAACATTTGTGAACATTGAACATCATTGTTTAAGTTGGAATTGCACTGGTGACTAGTGTCTTGATCCACAGCATGAATGCCAAGTCTGTGGGAGTTTGTGGTCTTGAAACTAGTCCCCTCTCTAAGAAAGCTGTGCCTGAGCTAGGAAGTTGGGGTGCAGGAGGTGTAGATGACGTATCTTCGCCTTGCAATCTCCATTTTGGTCCGAAATCATTTCCTGAAATTCCCATCAGACCATGTCATCTCCCCCTACTACTAGGAGCAAGAATCTATCGGTGGCTCCTGGCCTTACCTGGCCTTACTACAAACGGAGCGATCAGATGCTATTAGTATCTATTAGTGGCTCCTTTCATCTCCCCACTTCCATCTCTTTCATTTTGATGCGATGCGGATCAGGCGGAGCGCAGCCTCTCTGGCGCCGGAGGTCGCGCGGAGCTCCATCGCTCCGTGGCAAGCGCCAGGCCCACCAACGGGGGCGACCAGGAGAGCCCATATAGCTGCCTTTGGCCTAATGTGTGTGTATGTGTTTTCTTTATATGCGCTTTATATACTTCTCTTTTTTGTCGAATGTTGTTTTGTATCATTCTTCTCTTCAGGTCTTGAGGTTCTGAGAAACCCATTTATGGCTGATTATGGCTGAGATGTTGAACTCTTGGTCGGACCTGTGCAGACATGGCATGGTATCCCCGTGACAAGCACTGGGTATGACTCGGTTGGACTGGTAACCACCTGGGATGACTAACACCTCCTCCCAGAGACCTCGAAGACCACGGGAGATTACCACGGGTTGTGTGCTACTTCGGAACAATGTGTTGCTGGTATTATGACACACCACACATTCAGGATTTGTGAAGCATACCTGGCAATCCTGAGGTTGCGACATTCCAGCCCTGCAAAGGTTTGAACCCCCAAAAAATCAATCCCATCCAGTGACCGGTGTGATTTGCACACCAGACACACGAACGGTGATTTGATGGGTGCATTCCGTTTGACCCTGACACGGAGACGCGGAATGACGCGGAGGTCTGAAGAAGATCCGGAAACTCTTCAAAGATTGTCTCAGCTTGGGGTGATCATCGAGGACCGAGCCGAACATCATCTGGGCCAGGACCTGGGTGTGTGCAGGTAGGGGACCTCATTGGGCAGGACCTGTGCGGGACGTCATTGGAATAAGAATGAATATGAATAAAATAATTCTCCAACCAGTTGGGATTTTAGTAAGTTTTCTCTTCTCTTGGTGCTCCGGTCTCATTCTTTGGATACACACCGACTTGTGATTGAATTGCACCCTTGATTATTTGATGTTCAGATGTGAACACCTTAGATATTCCTGCTCTCCCCTGCCGGCCCTGCCAAGAAGTGAAGACCCTCCACTAGTGGAGAGAACAAAACAAAATTCAAGCCATTCTGGGAGGAAGAGGCGATTGGACGGTCTCTCTCTGATTCAAACTTGACATTTTGTGGCAAGGTTAGAGGATCTCAGTTGGTGCAATAGTAGCTTCTTGTTACTAGTAGCGATGCCCTTTGTTCAAGTAGATCTAGTAGCGTCCTTGTTCCTAGTAGTAAGGCCAGGAGCGCCCAGTTCGTAGCGTCCTTGCTACCCTTCAACACGTTTGGATGCCCCATGTTTGAGGAGACTGGAAAGTCCACGGCGGTAGAGGTGCAAAACGCATCATTGCGACGAAGGAATGTTCCACTAATGAGCAACAGTAGTTTGGACACAATTTGAAGCTAAGCTATTTACACAGGACACAAGTTTATGTTCACTCTATTTTGTGTTGTGCAAGTCTTTTGATGGCAGGACATATTGGGTGGAATCTCAAATGATTATGACTATATATATGGCTTCAATGCAATATTATTGCTTGCGTGTACATATATCATGTTATATATACATATATATATATATATACCAATGGCGCAGACAAATATATATATATATTATATATACATCTTCAGAACTATATACCCCACAGCATCAGATATCATCCCCAGATGAATGATGTAACAGGACTTTCAGACCACCGCATCACGTGTCATTTCCTCCAAATGTTTGTCAGACGCATATATTCCAGAACGCTTCACGAGCTCCGGCGGCAGATACTCAAGTCGCTGACCTTGGCCGTTCAGCGATCTTCGAAGATTCAAGTACGAACGAGCTCACCTGTCATCAGGTGTGGGAAGCCTGAATGGTTCGTCTTGTTTACAGGAGCACAAAAGACAGTAGTGTAGAAAATGCGGGTCCCCCTATACATTCGTTTCTTTCGGCCGTGCACACGTGTAGCGGGTCAGAGTTGCGATGTGGACGTGCCAGCTTCGAGAAGATATGTACAACAAGGTAGATGACGTACACTCCAGGTGCCTAAGAAGGCAATGGAACATGACTCAGTTCAGAAGCAGGTTATGCTCAACAGTGTCGGCCTGTGAAACCAGCAGTCCTTCCTCGTGTAGCCCTCAGGCAGAACTGTAGCTGGGGCAATCCCCCAAATGCATCTAAGAATTCATTCGAGTTCCAACTCCCTCTATTTTTTGTATATCCCGAGAATCGAGTGTTTTTTTTGTTTAAACGTAGCTTCACGGTTCCGCGGAGGTTGCTTCACGCTGGTGGCTCATGCTATGGCTGCGTTTCTTCGACTCCCAAGGGAGAGATCTCCGTGAAGGCGCTTCGACCGACGTGGCACGATGCGACTGCCGGGACACGCGGTGGCACCACGGGATGATCCATGTTTCAGGATCCAATGCGGCGTATGAAATAGCAGCATTCACGGCAAGGAAGCCACCCTTTCAGATTGGTCTCTTTTGTACCGAAGCGTTGCAAGGATACAGATTTGTCGAAAATGGTTTGGATTGAAAACCACTACCTTCCACAAGCAGTTGTGGGGTACATGGGTTCATGGTCCGGTCATAGTCATTCTTTGGTCCTAACTTTATGACTCCTTTGTCTTCCCTTCGTTTTGTTCATTTTTGCACAAGCACGCGCACACACACACACACACATGCAGGGCAAAGTGATCCTCTGCTGCGGTGGCTTCCTTGCAGATGCCAAGCCAAGATCAATTCTTGGAATGTATCGTTCTGCACCTTGATTTGGAATCTCAGTCAGCTGTGAAGGCACGAGTGGGTGCAACTAATTAGGGGAACCCAATTCGAGTCAGAGGAGTCAGGAAACTCTATATCTAAGAATCTAGCTAGGTGGACCATGCCGCACAGTTGGAATGCAGACAGGTTGCCGGGGATACCACAGTTTTGAGAAAGCCATGTCATACCATGTCAGTCTGAAACCTATAACGGTACCTCCGAGGGGCTAAGCCACCCCAGGCCCCATGAGTTCAGAGAGTCTTTTCAGGCAAAGCAGAGTCTAAGAATGTGCATTGGAAAGATGCACAACTTCGAAGACCAATCGAAGATATGCCAGGCCCAATTGTCACTCCACGATGTTGAAACGAGAGGCTAACTAAGAGGGATCCTGAATAGCGATCGTGGCCACCCTGACTTGTGGTGACTTGAAGCGATGTCCAGTGTTTGTATATGTTTCCATTATGTTTTCCCCACCTGTCAGATGAGGGTTGTTTGATTTTATGTCAGCTGCCTTGCTCCTCTCCTCTCCTCTCCTCTCCTCTCCTCTCCTCTCCTCTCCTCTCCTCTCCTCTCCTCTCGTTCTCCGCCTCCTCAACCGCGAGTGTCGGATGGCAGTTTTCCCCGCCGGACGGCAGTGTTCCCTGCCGGACCCCAACCACGAGTCAGAAGATATGCCGATATGCCAGATAGAGAAAGAATGTCAGAAGATATGCCAGAAAGAATGTCAGAAGATACAGCAGAAAGAGTGTGGGAAGATATGCCAGAAAGAATGTCAGAAGATATGCCAGAAAGAATGTCAACAGATATGCCAGAACGAATGTCAGAAGTGATGCCAGAAAGAATGTCAGAAGATATGCCAGAAAGAATGTCATAAGATATGCCAGAAATAATGTCAGAAGATATGCCGGAAATAGCGTCAGATGAAATAATATCTGAAGATATGCCAGAAAGAATGTCAGAATTTTTGCCAGAAACAAGTGCCAGCTTTACTGTCAGAAGACAGAAAGAATGCCAAAATAGTCTTTCAACACATGCCAGAACTTTGTCAGACTGAAATGTCATGGTGGGGATCACTCGAAGTAAGGTAAATTGTTCCAGACCCCTTAAAGGTAGTTGAGCATCTTAGAATATCTTAGAAACAAACTCCACTCAGAAACACAGACGCTAGCAAAGGACTCTTTTCACCAGCGGGTTCTCTCATTGTCGAAGTGTCTTTAGCTCAGTGCACTTCCTTATCAAACCAAACCTTGGTCCGCTGACTCCTACTTGTCTATTTTGGACGGTGGTTCCCAAGAATCACCCACAGGTTTTCTACCATATCCTTGTAGTCTGAGGGCAGGTGGCGCAACCAGCTCCACAACTTTGAGCCCAGACCTGCGGCCGAAACTTTGCTGCTTTCCCCAAAACGAAACCTCCCAGGACCTCCTCCATTGGCCAATCCCTTTCGACTTTGGCCGCCGACACCTCCACGACCTTGATTTGGGCCACCTGGTGGCCCCGGAGCAAGTCCAAGTTTTTGCCACTGCAGAGGCGCCCTCGGCCCTCGAACTTGGGAGGTGTCCCCTCGGACCTGCACTCCAGGGCAGGATCCTTTTCGGAGATATCCTCCCCCCCTTGACAAGGATCTTCCAGGGGCTCAGGCTCCACTTCCATCATTGCTTCGGACATTTTTTCTTAATGGATTGCAATGGTTATAAAATTATTACTATGTGTTACTTTGTATATATGTCAAATAAGTTCAGTAGTTTGCGGTTATCTCACCGGATATCCGACTGGATTCACAAGAAGACTTGTAGCCCAAAAGTCGTTCCGAAACCTTCCACCAATACAAGTCTCGATATTCAAGACAAATCAACTTGCATTGGAGGAAGGCTATGTGCAGATAAATCAAATATGCAGATGCACTTCATGGATCAACTTGCAGATCAACTCTATAGTAGTTTCCCTTTCTGGAGAAGTCAGACTAACGTTACGATGCAGCGATTAGTTTATTGTATTTGTTTATAATGTCATCACACCACCAACACAACACATCAACAGGTCAACAATCATCAGCAGATAGGCTTCAAGCAACCCACTCACCTGTTACCCTGTGTTTTACCACGCTTGAATGCGTTTGTCAGGCACATGGCCGGCGGGCCAGGCGTTTGCTGCCTCGATGTTTGCGAGACGGAGGATGCCTCATGTCAAGTCGGGGAGAGGCGCGGTACGCTTGCCTAGTACGAGCAAGAAGCTACTAGTAAGCTCCTGGCCTTTCTACTAGGAGCAAGAAGCTACTAGTAGCTCTCTACTATACAAGAAGCTACTAGTAGCTCCTGGCCTTTCTACTAGGAGCAAGAAGCTGCTAGTAGCTCCTGGCCTTTCTACTAGGAGCAAGAAGCTACTAACAGCTCCTGGCCGTTCTACAAGAAGCAAGAAGCTACTAGTACCTCCTGGCCTTTCTACTAGGAGCACAAGAAGCTACTAGTAAGCTCCTGGCCTTTCTACTAGGAGCGCAAGAAGCTACTAGTAAGCTCCTGGCCTTTCTACTAGGAGCAACAAGCTACTAGTAGCTCCTGGCCTTTCTGCTAGGAGCGCAAGAAGCTACTAGTAAGCTCCTGGCCTTTCTACTAGGAGCGCAACTAGGAGCAACAAGCTACTAGTAGCTCCTGGCCTTTCTACTAGGAGAGCAACAAGTTACTAGTAGCTCCTGGCCTCTTTACTAGGAGCAAGAAGCTACTACTAGTAAGCTCCATTCTACTAGGAGC